CACCCCCCCGCCTTGCCCTAAGTGCCATGCCGCTATAAAATATGAAGAAGGCTCCGCAGCTGAAACGTTGTGTTTCCTTTCTTCTCTTTTCACCAGGGAATAAATCCGTTACCTGTTCCTTTGCAGCCTACGCATGCTGACGGAGCTCCCTACTTGTACTGCTATACAATGTTGTTTCACAGTGTTTACCTGCAGAATTGGCCATTTTCCTGCCAAGCAGGAGCACCTGTTTGTGTGATGTTTGTAATGGGGCATGACGGTCATGGCGGATGGCTTCTCATTTCAGGCGTCAGCCATAGTCAGGAATCTGGGAGTCACACTGGAGCCTCTCCTGTCTTTCGAGCCAAATGTGAGAAAGTGGATTAAGACATCTTTCTGTCACCTCAGAAATACTGCCCGCATTAGGGGATTTGTATAAGTGTCCGAGGCTGGGAGCCTGATCCATGCATTTCTAACATCAAGGCTTGATGTTCCTCTAACTCTTTACTCTGTGGGCTTCCTAACTCTCTTCTCAACAAGTTGCAATATGTCCAAAACTCTGCAGCAAGAAGAGTTACTCCCACCAGGCCCTGTCAACATGTTACTTCCACACTGAAGTCTCTACGCGGGTGGCCTAAAAAGTCACATATTCATGATAAGGTCTTGTTGCTGATATCAAGTCTCTAAACAATCTGGCTCCTTCATACATCTCTGAACTCTCCATGTTTCTGCTCCCTCCTGTAGGCTCCGCTCTGCTGAGGCCGGGCCTCTGCTCCCTGCCCCCCGGCTTCAGGAGACACCACTTCTGTGACTGTCTTCAGATCGAATCTTCACACTTACCTTTTGACCAAGGCCTGCGTCTGATTGCCTGCATTCAATTTGTAACAAACTATCCTTGTTTTTTTTCCATTTACTTTTATTGTACTTTTCTTGTCTTTTTCTTCATTCCTGATGTACAGCATCCTTGGGTTTGGAAAGGTGTTTCATAAATAATAACAACAACAACAACAACAACAACAAC